CTCTATATATTGATATGTACTACTATTACCAATGCGCCAAAACATGCCCATATGCCTAAATGCTAATGTTTATTACGAAGTACAATTATTGAATTTGCATGGCGCATTTGGTCCCTTGAAAACTCAGTTTTTGTTTTGATGCATTGCATAAAATCGTAGCATACATCATACATGCATGATGCATTAGTTAGCATGTACGTTTTTATATGTACATATATAATATATTATACATATATGCTTGTTTGGCTATCATTATTTAGATGGGTAGATTATACGTAGTACTATAATTTGTATACAAATGAATTAAAATGTGTTATATGTCGCTTTTATTATTTATATCATAGGTATAGTTATCATTTGTGACAAAAGTTTCACTTCTGTTATTTAAGTAAAGGTCCTATTTGGTCAACATAATTACTATAAAAATGTCACTTTTATTATCAAAATATTTTATCTGATTAAAATGTCACCGATGTTAAAATTTTATCTGATTCACTTGATTTAAAAAAAATCACTTTCGTAATATTTTGCTAACTAATAAAATTTATTTATTTTTATTTTATTAATTTTTTTTAGATGTCACAAACCCATGTAAGTGGGCGGTGGAGTTCTGTATAAATATCTGTTTAGCAAGTTGAATCAGGGTTTCTGAATTCCTGCATTCCCACTCTCTAGGCGCTCTAACTTCTCTCTACACCCAATTCCTGCCTTCAGTTTTTCGCTCTCCACTTGTGCCATGTAACCCTCTTCCCTAGATCTCATTCTCTTCTTCGACGTCCAATTCTTCGGAGCATGACACAGATTCTTGCCATTCCTCGGAATCGGATATGGACCTTGGTTCCTCGGGGGGGGGGGGGGGGGGGGGGGGGGTCCAGATCACCAGATGTTGTTGAGGAGACAATGGCCACGGTCTGGGAGGATGCTGATGACGCGACGGCTCAACATGACGTCGCTTAAGCCCTAGTAGATGGATATGATTCCATTGATGAGGCTTTCTCCGGCAATGACATAGCTTTTTTCAAGGCCGGTCGCCTGGTTGATGTATCGCGCCATGAGGTGCTTCTGGGGAACGCCCGGGGCTGTGAGTAGTTTTTCTTAGATCATTTAATGGATTTGATTCTGGTTTACCTACCGCCGCCATTCATCTAAAGCATGCACGGCGCAACTCATCCACCGAGACGCCGCCCTCATGGGCCATTTAGATTTTGTAATATCCAGGTTGCGATTCCCAATCCATCCCTTCTTTATTGAGATATTCCAGTGCTACCAGGTGGTTCCCGCCCAGTTCATTCCCAATTCATATCGGCTTGTGGCTGGCTTCATCGTGCGGTGCACCCCTTAGGGGCGTGGATATGAACCTAGACCTTTGCCACTACTTTTTCAAGGTCAACCCCCAGAACGCCGATGTTTTCCTGACGGTCAGTAGCTATTCCGGGCGGACGCTCTTATATGGGGCCCATTCCTCCATCAGGAAGTGGAAACATCGATTCCTTTTTGTTTTCTTCCCCGAGGGTCAACTGGCGACGCGATTCAATCGGTTCCCTCCAAAGGCTGGAGAGTCGCGTGATACTGAGGATCTAGGGGGGAGCCATCAAGAAAGTCTAGCGCGATGGATCTGAACATATTCTGTGACATATCTTCATTTTAAGGCTCTTGCCGACGCAGGGATAGGTATCGCCCGTGTTACTGGATTGTTTTTCCCTGATATCACACCCAATCTTGAGCGGTCCCGTTCCTGTTCAAGGTGAGTGCCCTTAGGACTTATGCTGCTCGGTCCTAATAGTGGTATTTTTGTTTCAGGTCCTCTTATACCCTCAGAAGCACAGATAGAGCTGGAGCGGGAGGCAAGTGCTGCTAAGAAAGAAGCCGCCTGATTGAAGAAGGCTTCTGGTCGTGCGGGCCAGTCCTCTGAGGCCACCTCTTCTGTCGCCTCTCATGTTGAATGGAGGGCTAATGATGGTGCATGGCCCACACCCTAGGCCACCCTAGAGGCCCATAACGAGGGCTTGAGCGTGGAAACTGCGGCTGCGCAGGAGTCAGATCCCATTCGGGTGGCAATTAGTCGCCAAGCTAGGCCCCAAAAGGAGAAGCTGCCCAAACGGCCCCATGTGGAGGCAAATGGCCCTTATGTTCAAAACTTGGGGTTATCCCAGCTCGGTTGCCCCGCCATCGAGGCATGGAGAGAGTTTGACCGCGGCTCGAGCTTCGAGCTAATGCCCCAACCATCTCCTAACGCTGTGGAGGGCGCGCTACTCTCGTGTTTTCATGTAACCCTTGCTCCTATCTGGCGTAGATCCCTCATTTCCTTCGTTTTTCACTGAAGTTGCCTATCATTATTTCTTCCCTCGCAAGTTGGCCTGTACATCCTTCAATGTGAGACAACTCCCGATCTGCATGCCCTTACGCCGAAGAGGAAGACCGATGAAGCGCTATCGGAGGCTCGATAGCTACCTAATCTTTAGCGCCGTATTGCTTTTAGTTTTTTTCTTCCAGATTGCTTTAAGTATTGTATGTCTCTCGGCAGCGTTGCCATTTCTTCTAAGCATTGGAGCTCTGTCCCTCCAACTTGCTTTTAGGGTTCCACACTGCGCTATTGGAGCTCTGTCCTTGGTTATCATTGAATTCTCCGGGTTAGGACCCCGTGCGGAATCTATGGTCTTGTTTGGCCAAACACCCTCCTCATTATGGTGCTCCCTCGGCCTCATGGTTCCTCCGGATTTAACTGTAACACTTGAGATTTAATATAAACGGATTAATAGTACTACTCATACCAACAGAGGTGCATCTCCTTTTAAGGGAGCCCATCCACTAAGAACTCCAAAGTTAAGCGTGCTTGCACGGGAGTAGTCTTGGGATGGGTAACCCCCTGGGAAGTTTCTCAGGGCGCGCATAAGTGAGGACAAAGTGCGCGGTAAAGGCTAGTGGTGGTTTGTGAGGACAATACTATTGGTCCGAAGTAACTACCTCGGGTCCGGTGGGGCCGGGGTGTTACAGGTGGTATCAGAGCGACCCCGCGACAGTGTGATGACCCGTTGGATATCGGGCGGGCACTTAGCGGGGGGAAATTCTGGGATTTGATTGAGATTTGAGATTGGTTCAAGGGCGCAACGAGGACGTTGCGATCCTAAGTGGGGGTGATTGTAACACTTGAGATTTAATATAAACGGATTAATAGTACTACTCATACCAACAGAGGTGCATCTCCTTTTAAGGGAGCCCATCCGCTAAGAACTCCAAAGTTAAGCGTGCTTGCACGGGAGTAGTCTTGGGATGGGTAACCCCCTGGGATGTTTCTCAGGGCGCGCATGAGTGAGGACAAAGAGCGCGGTAAAGGCTAATGGTGGTTTGTGAGGACAATACTATTGGTCCGAAGTAACTACCTCGGGTCCGGTGGGGCCGGGGTGTTACAGGTGTTATCAGAGTGACCTCGCGACAGTGTGATGACCCGTTGGATATCGGGCGGGCACTTAACGGGGGAAGATTCTGGGATTTGATTGAGATTTGAGATTGGTTCAAGGGCGCAACGAGGACGTTGCGATCCTAAGTGGGGGTGATTGTAACACTTGAGATTTAATATAAACGGATTAATAGTACTACTCATACCAACAGAGGTGCATCTCCTTTTAAGAGAGCCCATCCGCTAAGAACTCCAAAGTTAAGCGTGCTTGCACGGGAGTAGTCTTGGGATGGGTAACCCCCTGGGAAGTTTCTCAGGGCGCGCATGAGGACAAAGAGCGCGGTAAAGGCTAGTGGTGGTTTGTGAGGACAATACTATTGCTCCGAAGTAACTACCTCGGGTCCTGCGGGGTCGGGGTGTTACAAATGGTATCAGAGCAACCCTGCGATAGTGTGCTGATTCGTTGGATATCGGGTAGACACTTAGCAGGGGAAAAGATTCTGGGGTTTGATTGAGATTGGTTTAAAGGCGCAACGAGGACGTTGCGATCCTAAGTGAGGGTGATTGTAATACCCGAGATTAATTTAAGAGGATTAATAGTACTACGCATACCAACAAGATGCATCTTCTTTTAAGGGAGCTCATCACCAAGAACTCCAAAGTTAAGCGTGCTTGCACGGGAGTAGTCCTGGGATGGGTGACCCCCTGGGAAGTTTCTCAGGGCGCGCACGAGTGAGGACAAAGTGCGCGGAAAAGGCTAGTGGCGGTTTGTGAGGACAGTACTAGAGGTCCCGAGTAACTACCTCGGGTCCTGCGGGGACGAGGTGTTACATTAACTGCCTGGGAGAAGCCCGAGGACCTTCTAGAGGGCGTTCTAGGTGAGCTGAACAAGGCCGGTGTATATTTCAACAAGGCTCGGGCAGCGTTTGAGCGTCAAGGCATGCAGATGGTCAATGTCAAGAGTGGCGTTGAGGCCTTGATCCGAAGTGCCAAAGATTGTGTTGCCCGGATGAAGCAAATGTCAGTCTTTCTTGTAACACCGTCCCCAAATATATTTACTTTTATGTAAATAATGTATTGAACCTTATTAAAGAATTAATGAATTTACGAAGTTGTAAATTTTTGTTATTTCTTTCGCACGAATAATAAATTGCACGTGGGACCCACACCGGGAGCGGGGGCCGCCCGACATTCCCGAGACCATATATTTATTCATCTTGGTCTAGATAATAAATATATAGTGGTGGATATTTCATCGGGGATATGGAAAAGCCCAGAGTAGACCGGTTGGCCAAAAGCAGCCCAAATTACCGGTACTGGTAATTTAACAGATAACAGCCCGGAAATGAATTTCGGAGGCTTATAAATTAAAGTTGGGGAATGTATATTCATTATACATGTCATAATGAGTAAGAGCACATAATATATTTTATTTGACCCGATAAAATAAAATATATTTAAAACAGTCCGAAAAATACAACTTTCGGGACAAATTGTGCACTTCGGGACAAAAAGGGTTAACCTCCCACTTGGGTGGGGGCCAACCCACGACTTTGGTCACCCAAATTGATAGCTTGGCCGGCTGGATGTGTGAGAATAGCATGTGAGTGGTGTGTGAAGTGAAGGAAAGAGCATCAAACAAAATAAGGTGGATCCCATCCACACTTATTTGTTTAATGAGACAAAGGGTTACCCTCACCCCTCCCTCTACCTCATTCTCGGCCAAGAGACACCCAGCAAGAGCAAGAAATCCATCATCCTTCATTCTCCATTGTTGAAGAGAGCTCAACAAGAAGGAATCCCAAGAAAAGGGGCTAGGGTGCTAAAAGTGTGAAAAGATTGAGGTAATGACCTTATTATAACTTCTTCTCTATTTTTCTTCTACCTTATGAGATACATATCATGTGAAGAATCCTTAAGAGGGTTCTACATGTTATAAGTATGGATTAATGGATTGGAAAGTGAGTCTATGTCCAAGAACGGACTTAAAAGCCAAAACGACCGGTTCACCGGAAAATAACCTTTTATAGGTTATTTGTATTGATTAAGGTTTTATGATGTTAAAACTTTGTTAGGAACTTGTAAAGGGTATTTCAAGTGATTTCACAAAGTTGGAAAAGTCGCCGGAGTTGTCGCCGAAGTGGACCGAAGTCGCCGGAGTTTCACCGGAGTTCAACCAAGAAGGGTAGAACTTCATAACGCTAGTTCAAGGTGAGTGGACGGCTTAATATCTTATAACTTTTGGGTTAATTATGAGATTACCTAAATAAATGTTATATGAGTTCATAATAATGTTTAAAAGATATTTAAACATGTGATTAGCCAATAGGGTTAAGATTGTATGAAAGAAATAAATTGTTTGTGCATGGAATATGATATGAAGGATTTTATAAAATACATATTTGTTTGAAATGTATAAGATGCACAAATGAATATTATTAACTTAATTACATGATGGTTAAGTTGATAAGTATAAGACTTGTAATGGCGGCCAACGACAACGTTGACCGATGGATAATGAATTAATTAATATCGGTTGGTATTAGTTAATTATGTATTTTATATAATTGCATGGCTTTGCATGGATTGTGATACATAAGCTTGATGTATTGGATTAGTTATGAGGAACTAAGTATGATATAGACTCTATCTAGGTTGATAGAAGGTTGATCATAGGCAAATACATTGGTGGAGGACCCTAGTACTTAAAAGTACTTAACACTCAAAATTTGGTGGAGGACCCTAGGACTTAAAGTCCTTAACACTCGGATTATAAACTTGGTGGAGGACCCTAGTACTTAAAAGTACTTAACACTCAAACTTGGTGGAGGACCCTAGTACTTAAAAGTACTTAACACTCAAACTTGGTGGAGGACCCTAGTACTTAAAAGTACTTAACACTCAAACTTGGTGGAGGACCCTAGTACTTAAAAGTACTTAACACTCAAACTTGGTGGAGGACCCTAGTACTTAAAAGTACTTAACACTCAAACTTGGTGGAGGACCCTAGGACTTATGAGTCCTTAACACTCACAAACCGGTGGAGTACCCAAGGATTATGATCCTCAAAACTCGTAGATTATGATATTGGAATAGGGACAAGGAGGAGTCCTATACACTCATTGGTATATGGGTGGGTTGGGGTTTTTAGTCAAGAATATTGACTATTACTATTTTTCCCAAATAAAATGGTGATCTACGGATCGGATATTTTCCAAGTATATATTTATACTAATAAATATTTCATAACTTGGGGGAAAGACTATCTATTTAAGTATCACCCTATGTTTGGGTCTTATACTTGAAACGTTAGTTATTCTATATTTAGCCTGCTACTCGCTCGGTACTTGTACTGACCCCTTCGGGGGGCCCCACCATTTTCAGGTTGAAGCTAGGGCTTGCTACTTGCACCTTCTCACGGGTGGTATCAAATCAGGAAGACGTGGTTCGTGCTTCCTTATTTTCTTTCAAACTACCGAACACTTGCTCATGGATATTTGTTCTACTATAAACTATTTTTGGGGCTTGCATGCCCATGTTGTTGGCCGGTTGTGGCTTATGACTTACCGTTGAATATTTCCGCTATTCATTGGTTTAAATGTGATGTTGTTATGTATGTTTACTACTGAGCATGGATGGATTGTTTTCTCAAACGCCTTGTGTAATTAAGTGAGGTTGACTCGCGGGTGACGTCACTTAATTATACGGCGGTTGTACACGCGCTTGGATTGCGGTCTGGGGCGTGACAATTAAGTGGTATCAGAGCCATCTCAGTTCTAAACATTATAATCAACCTCTCACAAAGGATTTTACAAAAGAGTTTTCACCGAAAACCATGAGCATTGTATTTTGACGTTCATAGGACTATTGGTGCTTAAGTTGCAAGGCCTCTAATTGTTAAGACGGTACCCTTAACAATTGGTATGGTAGTGACTTGGGCCAATATGTGTCTGTAACGTTCTTCCGTCAGTTGACATTTATAGGAGTCTAATGACTCATCCATATTTCTTTCAGAAAGGGAGGGCAGGCGAATGAGGACCAGGAACAATCCGAGGGGGCAGGCGCCGGTAGCGTCCCAAAGGGGAAGCCGGGCTGCATCTCGGGGTTCAAGAGGAGGCCGTGGAGGCCGTGGGAGCCGTGGAGGTCATCAAGCTCAAACTGTGAGTGATGGCCATGTAAGCTCGGTGTATGAAACCAACACCGAAGACTACGACTCTACATATGTTCCGGAAACGGAGCACGAGGAGACCCCATACGATGGGGGTGACACGTACACGGACGATGATGATGAAGAGAGTGATGCCAAGTTCGCTCAAATGGGCGAATTACTAGAGTGGTATCAAAAGGAGAAACTGAGGAGAGACCTTAGGCGCCAAGCGAGGCGTGGCTCTCGTGGAGGTTCGGGTCAAGGAAGCCGGGGAGCTTCCGTGGCCACCCCAGCGGCGTCACAAGGTGGGCGTGAAGGAGGCTTTTGTGTGAGAATCTCCAAGTACCTCAAGGAGGCTAGGGCCTTGGGGTGTAAGTCCTTTGACGGCACCGGTGACATTACCGTTGCCGCCGATTGGATAAAGAAGGTGAAGGATGCGGCAAAGGACATGCAAATTTCACCGGACGTGAAGTTGACTGTTGCTTCACGGCTGCTTGAGGGGATAGCTTCCACGTGGTGGGAGAGTGTGGAAGGAAAATACCATGGGGAGGTCTCATGGTTGAACTTTGAGCAGGAGTTTTATGACCAATACTACACTGACTATGAGAAAAATGTCAAGCGTAGGGAGTACACCAACCTCAAACAGAAGGAGGGTGTGTCTGTTAAACAACTGGAGCAAGATTTTAGAACCTTGGCTAGGTTCTTGCCGGAGTACGCGATCAATGAGGACCGCATGTCGGAGCACTTTTGGGATGCCTTACTCTTGGACATCCGTGATCGGGCTACGTACTCGCGCCACATGACCTTTAGCGAGGTAGTGGAGCAGGGCCTTCTTGGGGAGGCTCAATGGAATGAGAGGAAAGAAAGAGACGCCGAGGAGGCGAAAAAGAGAAAATGGCATAATTCGGGGCCGCCCGAGCAAGCACGGAAGAATCACCACGGTGGGGGTGGTAGTACGTTCAAGACGCCGGCACCACCGGCGAAGAAGAACAAGGATGCTCGGTGGCACGCATCCTCCTCTCAAAATACGGGGCCCCCTAAGTGTGCCAACTGCTCAAAGAATCACTTCGGGAAGTGCAACGCACCCCCGAGGTGTTATCGGTGTGGGAACACGGGCCACATGAAGGCCAATTGCCCACAATTGGGGGGAGGAGGAGCTCCGGGATCCGGAGGAGGAACCATGACGGGGAGAAACCGTGTGGGCCCGTCAAACGGCGGTACGGGAAGAGGCGGCGCGTCCACAAGTCATGCCGCGTCCGTAAATCAAGGCGGGACCCAAGCACGAGTGTACGCAATGACCGAGGCTGATGCACGAGCAAACCCGGACTCCGTTGCAGGTAATACACTTATTTTCCTGTATTTCTAGGCTTATTTGGGTCATACGAGTCATTGGGTTTGGGTGCGGGCCACCCCGGGGTCAAACCCCGCGAATTCGGGGCGAAACGGGCTAAAAACAACTACGCGCGATCGCGCGTACCTACAGACGCACGACCGTGCGTACGAGGCAGCAGCCTCTGGCCAATTTCCGCGCAGACGCACGCCGTGCGTGCAGGTAAGGCACGCCGTGCGTGGACGCACGATCGTGCGTGACCAGCTACGCACGATCGTGCGTAGCCGGCAGTGGCGGATTCCGGATTTTTCAAGCACGCACGACCGTGCGTGCCACCCAGGCACGCCGTGCGTGGACCCCCAACACCCGAAACTTGATTTTTTCGCCCCGTTCTTCTACGTTTGGACCCCCGTTTGATTCCAAACATTAGTATGAGCCTAATAACCTCCTAAAGATGTGTTAAAACATTAGAAAATGTATCTTACATGTGTATAAATGTAGGAACATTAAAGATCAATGGTAGGTGTGCGAGGATCCTCATTGATACCGGGGCACAACGCTCATTTGTGAGTGAGGCGTTCGCCGAGGGCCTTGACGTGCCATTGACACCTATGACTCAAACGTTGCTAGTCTCCACACCGTTAGGAGACGACGTGGAGAGAAATCATTACTATCCGTCGTGTGAGGTAGAAGTGACGGGTCAACCTTTGACTTGTGATTTCGTACCTCTAAGCATGTTGGAGTTCGATGCAATCCTAGGAATGGATTGGCTCGAGAAACACCATGCCCGAGTAGATTGCTACACCAAAGTGTTGGAGCTCGAGGATGATCAAGGGAACACGCTATGCTTTGAGGGAGATCGGGGGAAATCTAATGCTTGTATCATATCCGTGATGAGAGCACGGAAGATGATGAGAAAGGGATGCCACGCGTACCTTGCCTACGTGGTGGACAATACCAAGAAGGAAGTCGACATCAAAGATGTACGGGTCGTGTGCAAGTACCCGGATGTCTTCCCCAAAGACCTACCGGGGCTTCCACCCGATAGAGAGATAGAGTTTGTAATTGAAGTGGAGCCGGGAACCAAACCCATTTCGATTCCTCCTTATCGAATGGCACCGGCCGAACTTCAAGAGTTGAAGGTCCAACTGCAAGAATTATTGGACAACGGATTCATCAGACCCAGCCATTCACCGTGGGGGGCACCCGTACTCTTCGTGAAGAAGAAGGATGGTACACTAAGAATGTGTATTGACTACCGACAATTGAACAAGGTCACAATCAAGAACAAGTATCCCTTACCGAGGATTGATGACTTGTTCGATCAACTTCGAGGAGCAATAGTGTTCTCGAAGATTGACTTGAGGTCGGGATATCATCAGTTGAAGATCAAGGAGAGTGACATACCTAAGAGTGCATTTCGCACTAGATATGGTCATTATGAATTCCTTGTGATGTCGTTTGGTTTAACCAACGCACCGGCGGCATTCATGGACTTGATGAACCGTGTGTTTAGTGAATACTTAGATCAATTTGTGATAGTATTCATTGATGATATCTTGATATACTCCAAGAGTGAGGAGGAGCACGAGCATCATTTGAGGCTTGTACTTGATAGACTAAGGGAAAAGCAACTCTTCGCCAAGTTCTCCAAATGCGAATATTGGCTCAAAGAGATTGGTTTCCTCGGTCATGTCATATCCGGTTCAGGTGTTGCTGTGGATAACGCCAAGATAAAAGCGATCATGGATTGGGAGAGACCCAGGAATGCGAAGGAGATACGTAGTTTCCTCGGCTTAGCGGGATACTATCGTAAATTTGTGGAAAAATTCTCCGTATTGGCGTCCCCATTAACGAAGCTCACAAAGAAAGGGGCCAAGTTCATATGGGACGACAAATGTGAGAAGGGGTTCCTTGAATTGAAGAAACGACTTACCGAAGCACCAGTCCTTGCCCTACCCATACAGGGGATAGGGTATGACATTTATAGTGACGCTAGCATCCAAGGGCTTGGATGTGTACTGATGCAAAACGGTGAGGTGATTGCCTATGCTTCTAGGCAATTGAGGAAACACGAGGTGAACTACCCTACTCACGATCTAGAGTTGGGGGCGGTAGTGTTTGCATTGAAGATTTGGAGGCATTATCTCTACGGGGAGACGTGTCACATTTATACTGATCATAAGAGCCTGAAGTATGTATTCACTCAGAAAGAGTTGAATATGAGGCAGAGGAGATGGATGGAGTTGATCAAGGACTATGACTTGATCATCGACTATCATCCCGGAAAGGCCAATGTAGTGGCCGACGCACTGAGCAGGAAGAGTACGTCGGGGACGCTACTCACATGTCTACAGGCACTGAGGGCACACGTGGAGGTATCCACGAGCGGGGCGCTCATTGCTAGGTTTGAGGTCAGACCTACATTGCTGGGTGAGATCAGTAGATGTCAGGCCATTGACGAGGAGTGTCAGAAGATTCGTGAACGAATCATTGAGGGGTCTGTTGAGAACTTTCGGGTACGTGACGATGGTCTATTATTGTTTAAGGATCGTGTGTGCATACCAAAGAATGAAGACCTCCAGAAGTCTATACTCGAGGAGGCTCATTCTTCAGCTTATGCTATGCATCCAGGAGGTACTAAGATGTACCGGGACCTGAAGGAAAGTTACTGGTGGTCGGGTATGAAGAGAGACATCGCCGAGTATGTGAGTCGATGCCTTACTTGCCAGCAAGTTAAGGCAGAACATCAGCACCCGGCAGGGTTTTTGCAGCCACTCACCATCCCAGAGTGGAAGTGGGAGCACGTGACCATGGACTTCGTGGTGGGACTACCACGAACAGTGAACAACTATGATGCAGTTTGGGTAGTAGTTGATAGGCTCACCAAGAGTGCACACTTTTTGCCTGTCAACATTACTTATCCTCTTGAAAGATTGGCCAAGCTATACACGGAGGAGATTGTGAGATTACATGGAGTCCCAATATCCATTGTCTCGGATAGGGATCCACGATTCACATCCCGATTTTGGCCAAAGTTTCAAGCATCTTTGGGGACTAAACTGAAGTTTAGCACAGCTTTTCACCCACAGACGGATGGACAGTCCGAGCGGGTGATACAGATTTTGGAAGACATGCTTAGGGCATGTGCGTTGGAGTTCCAAGGAAGTTGGGACAAGCATTTGGCCCTAGTAGAGTTTGCCTATAACAACAGTTATCAGGCAAGTATCGGCATGCCCCCATATGAGGCATTGTATGGGAGGAAATGCAGAACACCGTTGTGTTGGGACGAGGTTGGCGAGGCCAAACTCGAAGGGATAGAGCTGGTTGAGATCACCAAGGCCAAGGTAAGGATCATTCGGGACAGACTGAAGGCCGCTCAGGACCGACAGAAAAGTTATGCAGATAAACGACGGAGACCGTTAGAGTTCGAAGTCGGTGATGAGGTCTTCCTAAGGATTTCTCCTTGGAAGGGCATCATTCGATTTGTATCAAGGGGAAAGCTTAATCCCCGATACATCGGTCCATTTGAAATCCTTGAAAGAATAGGGGCCGTGGCTTACCGTCTCAAGTTGACACCTGAACTTGAGAAGATACATGACGTGTTTCATGTATCAATGCTCAAGAAGTACATACGAGACCCATCTCATGTTCTTGAGAAACCACCGGTAGAGATCCGTGAGGACTTGCAATATGCGGTGGAACCAGTGAAGATTGTTGGTCAACAAGTGAAGAAGCTTAGGAATAAAGAGATTCCTATGGTAAAGGTTCTTTGGAGGAGTGATCGAGTCGAAGAAGAAACTTGGGAGACCGAGGTCTCAATGAGGGAGCAATACCCATTCCTTTTTGATTAGATACTTGGATTTCGGGGACGAAATCCCAAATAAGGGGGGGTGAACTTGTAACACCGTCCCCAAATATATTTACTTTTATGTAAATAATGTATTGAACCTTATTAAAGAATTAATGAATTTACGAAGTTGTAAATTTTTGTTATTTCTTTCGCACGAATAATAAATTGCACGTGGGACCCACACCGGGAGCGGGGGCCGCCCGACATTCCCGAGACCATATATTTATTCATCTTGGTCTAGATAATAAATATATAGTGGTGGATATTTCATCGGGGATATGGAAAAGCCCAGAGTAGACCGGTTGGCCAAAAGCAGCCCAAATTACCGGTACTGGTAATTTAACAGATAACAGCCCGGAAATGAATTTCGGAGGCTTATAAATTAAAGTTGGGGAATGTATATTCATTATACATGTCATAATGAGTAAGAACACATAATATATTTTATTTGACCCTGTTGGTCCCGTTAAATATGGTAACCCGTCTAGAGGGGGGGGTGAATAGACTGGTCGGTTTTTCAAATTTTCTCTAAGTCCGAAGTGACTTATCAGAGAAGGTCTGATTCTGATGACAGAGAAAGGCTGGTTCTGATATCAGAACTGGCCTTGGCAGCGGATTCTGATCTGTCCGGGTAGCCTCAGAAACACTAAGGCAAATGCCTTTCTGATAACTCTTAAAACAAGATCTGCTGAACACAGATTCCAAGTCTTAGAGTTAATCAGTTAATATCCTAAGTGCAGAAATGAAAATTGCAGTAAAGTAAATGACACCGGATATTTTATAGTGGTTCAAGGAACAACTCGTTCCTCTAGTCCACTGTTCCACTAGCTTTGAAGTAGATCGGTTACAAAGCTTAGTTCCTAGCACTTAAGAAGTTCTCCACGCCTTCTTCAAGTCTAGCTGCCACCCAGGATGCAATTCCACGTCCTGATGGCTGGTCCTTTCACTCAGCTTCCCGGAAGTATCACCACTTCACTACTGCAGTTACTTGGACGCCCTTCTTTTCAGAAGATCCTTTGAAAAACAGAGTTTTTCCTCCAACTTGCTTCGTTACAAAGGATGTTTGATGAAGTTTTTGAAGTGTTGAAGAACAGGATGAACTTTGCTTGTTTGTTGGGGATGAGAGATTTGGAGTTTGAATCTTCCCAACGTAAGCTTGTCTTGTTGAAGGTTGTTAGAATTTGAATCTCAAGAGAGCTTGAATGATGATGAGCAAAAGTTGTAGCAAAGTTGTTTTTCTGTTCTTCGGTGTGTAGCTTATATACTGAGGTTGTCTGCCCGTTGGAGGAGGAGACAACTGCATTAAATGTGCGTACAGTTGACTTGACCGCCGTTTTGGAAGGTTTCTATTTTTATAATATATCTTCCCGGATTCTTTGGTCAATCATTTGCAATCAATCCTTCAGCGTATCAGGCTTATTTAATGTGCATTAAATGCTTTCCTTTCATGCACAGTCTTCTAGCCGTTGGATGTTTTTACCCGTTGAATTCATAGCTGTTGGATGTTGCTTGAAATCGTCTGAGTGTTCGTCGAGCTCTGATCAGGTTCTTCTGATATGTTGGATTCTGATGGCTATCTGATGAGTTGAGTTCTGATGGTCTTCTGATCTCTGACTGAACTCTGACTCTGATAGGTCCGCTGATGAGTGCTTCTGATCTGTAGTTCTCATCGGCTATCAGATGTCCAGGCTTATCAGCAACTCTCATGATGCACCTCTGATGGACTTCTGGTAAGAGAACTCTGATGGAGCAGTTCTCATAGAGCAAGTCTGGTCGAGCAGTTCTGATGCACTTCTGATCTGATCCAAAATAGAGCAACTCTGATCGTCGACTACACTAATACTTACAATTAAAAAATCTAATACATAAAATCTAACTTGGGGGTACTCTAACTTTCTAATCCTATAGCATCATCAAAATCTAATTACATTTATTCCTTACAGACCCGATAAAATAAAATATATTTAAAACAGTCCGAAAAATACAACTTTCGGGACAAATTGTGCACTTCGGGACAAAAAGGGTTAACCTCCCACTTGGGTGGGGGCCAACCCACGACTTTGGTCACCCAAATTG